GGGAGTGAGATCGCTCTACAAGAAGCCAGCGATCAAGGCGGCTCCCAGCTCTGCCCTCCGGGCGTCCGTGCGACGTGCCCAGACGAGCATTGAGGAGAATCCACGGGACACCGGATACTTCGAACCGCGAGTACGAAGGTGAATTAGTATCATAAGCCGATAAATTAAATAGGGGTAGTGGAATAGGTCCAGGGGTAGTAGAATAGGCCAGCCTCGTCAATTCAGACCGATTTAACATCAATTCCCAGGTAGCCGAAAATAAACCATTAATAACCCAGCGCAGCCTCGGGTGGTCTTACGAGTAGGTGAAAGCACGTGGTGCTGTGTGTGAGGCAAGGCACGTAGAGGGTATTTGAATGGACAAAGTGGCTAAGGAGCCAGCCGAGAATGATGTTTCACAGAGAGGAGTCGGGGCAGTAGCCCCAACACACCCACATAGGGTCTCGGAGGGGGGTGCCTGGCACCATGGGTTTTCATCCGAAGGGCCCCTAGCAGGAATGTCCCTCGATTTCCCGTTACCAGGAGATTGACCGGCCCCCTCCCCCGGTCACCTCACAAACAGGCCCTGGAAGCCGCTGCTGTGAGCGCGCCCCTCAGGCGGCCATCTTTTTTTCTCATCACTGTCCCCCCCGGCTCCGTCGTCGGCCCCCCCCCCTGGCTCCGTCGGCCGGCCCCCCCCTTGGCTCCATCGGCTCCCTTCCCCTCGGCTCCATCGGCTCCCTTCCCCTCGGCTCCATCGGCTCCCTTCCCCTCGGCTCCATCGGCTCCCTTCCCCTCGGCTCCATCGGCTCCCTTTCCCTCGGCTCCATCGGCTCCCTCCACCTCGGCTCCATCGGCTCCCTTTCCCTTGGCTCCATCGGCTCCCTTCCCCTCGGCTCCATCGGCTCCCTTCCCCTCGGCTCCATCGGCTCCCTTCCCCTCGGCTCCATCGGCTCCCTTCCCCTCGGCTCCATCGGCTCCCTTTCCCTCGGCTCCATCGGCTCCCTCCACCTCGGCTCCATCGGCTCCCTTTCCCTTGGCTCCCATCGGCTCCCACGGCCCCCCTGGCCACTGCTGAGAGCGCGCGGCGCCTCGAGCAGCATGACACTCCCAGTGTATGCTGCGTGAGTGAGTTCAGTGTCGGCTCGCTCAGCTCACGCCTATTGCCCCCACCACAAGCGGCGCCGCCAGCCGCCGGGAGCGTGCGCCTCAGGCGGAATCTTTCTTTTTCATCACCGCCCCCCCCCGGCTCCGTCAAACCCCCCCCCCCCCGGCTCTGTTGGCCCCCCCCCCCCTGGCTTCGTCGGCCACCCCATCGGCTCCCTCTGCCCCCTCACAAACGGCCCCGCCAGCCGCTGCTGTGAGCTCACCCCTCAGGCGGCCATCTTGGAAGTGTCGAAATTAGCATGTCAATGAAAGACCAAACAAGACTGGTACATCATAGAGAGAGTTGTGTAATATGAATCTAGGATCGAAGCTTTCTTGACTGCAGAAACTATACTCATGGTTTTTTTCCCGGTAAAGTCACGTATGTAGAAATAAAATACAATTTAAATAAATTAAATTACATTTAAATAAATCACGACGTTTCGAACTCAACACAAGCGCTCATCAGGTGGAAATGGGGTGAAACATACAGCGAGGGGACACACCACGTACATAGCACATGGAGAACGGCAAACTGCGCCTAAGCAAATGCAACAAGAAGATATTGTAGCTAATGCACCAGAAAATGTGACGATCAGTCACTATAAAAACACGAGTAGTAATAGGATTTTACCCTTTTATCTGGTATAAAAAATGACACCTTTATACAAGAGATCATGTTTGCAATAACCACAACACAAGCAGTCAAAATGCAAACAAAAAGGAACAACTCTGATAATGATATGCACTGTCCTTCAAGTTGATTGGTTCAACACTCGAGACAGCTTTTCTTAGAGCCTAGTCTTCATTGGTGTTGGACCGGATGACGCCAAAAGGCGTACATATCAAAAACAGCGCACTATCAGAGTACTTGGAGCTCGGGTAAGCATTTACACTGAGACCTCCTTTACCAGTAGCCAAATATAGTAATAGGTTTTTACCATTTTTTCTGGTACAGAAACTTACACCTTTATACAAGGGATCGTGTTTGCAATAACCACAACACAAGCAGTCAAAATGCAAACAAAAAGAAACAACTCTGATATGATAATGATATGCACTGTCCTTTACGTTGATTGGTTCAACACTCGAGACAGCTTTTCTTAGAGCCTAGTCTCCATTGGTGTTGGACCGGATGACGCCAAAAGGCGTACATCTCAAAAACAGCGCACTATCAGAGTATTGAGAGCTCGGGTACGCATTTACACTGAGACCTCTTTTACCAGTAGCAAAATATAGTAGTAGGTTTTTACCCTTTTATCTGGTACAGAAACTGACACCTTTATACAAGGGAACATGTTTGCAATAACCACAACACAAGCAGTCAAAATGCAAACAAAAAGAAACAACTCTGATAATGATAACGAAAAGTGCGTGCTTGCAGCACGTGCAGACGAAACCACGTGATTCGAAGCGTCATTGTATAATTGGGTAATAATGACAGCTGCTAACCGGAGCGCATTCGAAGGCTTCAAAGTAAATTGGCATAGAGTTTTAGTCTTGTAGGTGTAATAAACCTTCTTGAGACGGCTTCCGGAAGCAGTCCTTTTTATTTTCAACTTCCACAGTTACACTTCACACACTCCCCGTTGCTGACAGATAACGGAGAGAGGGCAGACTTCCCGCCAAGTCCCCACCGCTCTTCTCGTTCCCAAGTCTCCTCTCGACTGCCCTCTCTCTCTTAATCCCTTCGTCACGTGGTACCCCCCAGCCAATCCTTCATAGACAGCGTTGACCGTTCCCGATGGTTCCCTGTCAATCCCGGGACCACGCCTCTGATCCGGCTCCCCATTAGCTGAGGCCCCGATTGGCCAGGCCAATCACCCCTGCTAACATGCCGTGATCACGCCGAGACCATGCTCCCTGGCTCATCCCTTATTGGCTACAAAGCGGGACCGGCAAGCCAATCCCCACGTGAACCCTCTATGACTGTTATTACATAGGTATATTGATAGAGCACATGTAAGCTGGGCTTACGAAAAAAAATTCTTATAACTAACTACAGGGCTATTTTTTATGGAAAGAAATTCTGTTGAAACGCTGCACAAAAATGTTATAATCTAGATTTGAAGTTTTCGTGACAGCAGGAATCCATACTCTTTGGTTCTTTCGTTAAAGTCACGGTAGAAAATAAATTAGATCACGACGCTTCGGTCGCAACACAAGTGCTCGTCATCTGGTGGAAACAACCACAGCAATAAACATTTGCTGAAGTGGGCAAAAGGAGGCTTCTTGTGACACGAGGCTATATATACGTAAGAGGGGGGTGGGGGGAGGAGCCAGGGAGGAGAGATAGAGAGGGTGGGGGTGTGGGGTAGGGAGAGTGGCAAAGTGCAAGCTCCAACCCGAGTCCGAGTACAACGAAATGTCGGGTCTGACACGCACAGAGACACCAACAACAACCGCCATTCGCCACTAAGTGGCGGTGATGTCACCACAACGCTTGTGCCAGGCCATGTGCACCTTGAGGCCACGTGAGGTGTCCGAACGCCCGCTGGCAGGAGGTCACGGGGCAGACCCAGGTGCCAAAACAACCCCCTACCTCCTCGCGGTGCCGGACGGGCAACACTGTCGTGGACATTGCTAGTGTGCGGAGGACCAATGCCCATTGGCCTCTCCCCTCACTGGCGTCTGCGAGGGGCTAGGTAACCCCTCCACCTTCAATGAATTACCACGAGACTACGATATAAACATAAACAAACATAAACCCGCAGAGACGACACCTGGGCCATCACAAATGGTAGCAGCTCCACCAAGTGGCTGCTGATAATCATCATCACCGCCACCACCATCATCATCGCCACCACCATCACCGCCACCACCATCACCGCCACCACCATCATCGCCACCACCATCATCATCGCCACCACCATCATCATCGCCACCACCATCATCATCGCCACCACCATCATCATCGCCACCACCATCATCGCCGCCACCATCATCATCGCCACCACCATCATCACCGTCGTCGTCACGTGGACATTCATAGCAGCAGCCAAATACTCTAAAACGCGTATTTCTACTGGCTTGGTGATTGGGTGGGTGGGTGGGTGGCTGGCTGGCTGGGTGGGTGGGTTGGGTGGATGGGTGGGTGAGTGACTGACTGGGTGGGTGGGTGGGTGACTGACTGGCTGGGTGGCTGGCTGGGTGGGTGGGTGGGTGGGTGACTGGCTGGGTGGGTGGGTGGGTGACTGGCTGGTTAGGTGGGTGGCTGGCTGGCTGGGTGGGTGGGTGGGTAGCTGGCTGGGTGGGTGGGTGGGTGACTGACTGGGTGGGTGGGTGGGTGACTGACTGGCTGGGTGAGTGGGTGACTGACTGGCTGGGTGGGTGGGTGGGTGACTGACTGGCTGGGTGGGTGGGTGGGTGACTGACTGACTGAGTGGGTGGGTGGGTGACTGACTGGCTGGGTGGGTGGGTGGGTGACTGACTGGCTGGGTGGGTGGGTGGGTGGGTGACTGACTGGCTGGGTGGGTGGGTGGGTGACTGACTGGCTGGGTGGGTGGGTGACTGACTGGCTGGGTGGGTGGGTGACTGACTGGCTGGGTGGGTGGGTGAGTAACTGGCTGGGTCGGTGGGTGGTGGCTGGGTGGGTGGGTGAGTGGTGGCTGGGTGGGTGGCTGGGTGGGTGGGTGGCCAGCTGGGTGGGTGGGTGGTGGCCGGCTGGGTGAGTGATGGCCTGCTGGGTGGGTGGTGGGTGGCCGGCTGGCTGGGTGGCTGGCTGGGTGGGTGGTGACCGGCTGGGTGGGTGGGGGCTGTGTTGGTGGCCTGCTGGCTGGGTGGGTGGGTGGCCTGCTGGCTGGGTGGGTGATGGCCTGCTGGGTGGGTGGTGGGTGGCCGGCTGGCTGGGTGGCTGGCTGGGTGGGTGGGTGGCTGGCTGGGTGGCTGGCTGGGTGGGTGGGTGGCTGGGTGGGTGGCCTGCTGGCTGGGTGGCTGGCTGGGCCAAGTCGCCTTGTGGTGCCTCCCCGAGGACGCCCCGGTCACCTCGACGCGGCAGGGCCCAGGTGGTCATCGTCCCCGTCAGAGACGAAGAGGGCCACGTGGCCACGGCGCAGGTGGGCGGGTCGCCCAGAAGGACCGAGGGGGGTGGAGGACCGTGTCTGGGAGGGTGCCTCCTATGAGCAGCGCGGCTGTGCGGACAACAACGACAACAACAGCAGCGATGCTGATGAAGGTAAACGTAATGAACCAGTCTGTGCGTTAATTGTGTGTTGGCCGACTTTCTGTGTTGCATTACATTACATTTCGAAATGTTGCTAGGTTATTTAATTCAGTGTGCCTCTCTCCCTGTCTCCTCATTTTTAAATCCTTTATATTAAGTTCGCTTGCGTGCTTGCGTGCTTACGACCGTGCAAATCTTTCGGTCGTTTTTTAACCCACTTCCCGTGATCCAATCGAGCTGACATTTTGCACACAGACTCGTTGTGCGTGACAATTTATTTTCGTGAAAAAAAATTCCAAAATTTTACACTTTTTAGGAATTTTTAAAAAATATTTAATTACCAATTGCTTAATGGTGGCAGGCAATCATCTGACCCATAGGTGGCAGCCATCTCAAGCCAGAGGACGAGAGGACTCTAGCCGCCACGCATATAAAGGATTTATAGTGAAAAACTTTGTTTTTACGGGTTAATTTTTTACAACCTTTTTTCAGCGTGCCACTCATTGACATGCTAATTTCTCTAACCCCTCCCTCTCTCCCTGCCCCCTCTCTCTATTTAAGGCCTCGACACAGAGGCGTGGTTTCTCTGTGTGCTTATGTACGTCTCTCTGTATCTCTGTATCTGTCTCCACTTATATGTCTGTCTATATGTCTCTAGTTCTGTGTTTTATCTCTCAAATTTAGAGCGTAATCAACCAGGTAGGGTGTTGACTGTTATAGGTATCCGACTGTTGTATTACATTACATTTCTAAGTACACTAAATTTGTGTTTCTATTTCATTTGTACCTGATGATGATTACTTGTGTTGCAATCGAAACGTCGTATGCTAGTATTTAATTTATTACTTTCTCTTTCTACGTGACTTTACCGAAAAAACCAAAGTGTAATTCCTGCAGTCACGAAAGCTCCTAATTAAGTTTGTGTGGGGTGGGTGGGTGGGTGTGCGTGTGTCTGGATGTGGGTGGAGTTGAGTGGGAGCGGTGGTGTAGCAGTCAGCGCTGCGCTCCGAACCTGGTGACCCCGAGTTCGATTCCCGCTAACGGCCAACACGGACGACGATGAATCTGAACCGGTCCTGGGCCTCCCCTAGGTCGACTCGGCCTGAAATGAGTAGCTGTGTAGTAAACATCGCTACTGGGGAGACAAAGGCGGCCGGGCGTGGTGCTGGCCACCCACCCTCTCGTGTGTCGTGCCGGCCTTCATAGGTGCTCGCTAACAGCACTTGCCCCAACTGTCTTGTTACAGGCGACACGGGGGATCTTTGTCTTTGTGGATGGGTGGGTAGGTGGGTGGGTTTGGGAGTGACTGAATGAGTGGGTGGGGTCGGTGAGTGAATGACTGAGTGAGCGGGTGGGTGGCAGTGAGTTGTAGGCCACTACAAGGTCAGGTAAAAAAGGTTCGGTTTCGTTTATTAGGTATAGCCCTGTGAGCCATTCGGCTCTTGAATCGGATGCAACAAACAAAAAACAAAAACATGAACAAGAAAACATCTTAACAACGAGCCTACCTTTACCCTACCTTTTAGCTTACCACAATACAATCACTCTACCCTTACCTTTTACCCTTGCGCCATACAAATTACCCGATTTTACAGGATAATTACTGGGGTACCACTACACATGAACAATGTTTGTAGCGGGTCAATGCTAGGTAGAGCGCTTTATTCGTATAGAATACTCTCGATGATTCCAATTTAAAATAGAGGCCCACGGACTGCGCCACGGAGCTTTTAGCGAGCGGTAAACACAATTCTTCCGTGCTAGCTTTACCCTACCCTTTACCGTACCCCTTGGCATGTCGACACCTCTTTACCCTTTTACCCGGTAAAAAGGGTAAATTACCTCGCCTTGCCGTGAGGCCTAGTGAGTTGGTGGGTGGGTGGTAAAGTGATGAGGTGAGTTTCGATTTAAAGCTTTCGTGACTGCAGGGATTCATCTTCTTGGTTCTTTCGGTAAAGTCACGTAGAATGGAAATAATAAAATAAAATATTGATAAAATATTTTATTATATTTTATGATGTTTTTATTATTATTTCCATTCTACGTGACTTTACCGAAAGAACCAAGAAGATGATGAGGTGAGTGTTGATGAGATGAGTGATGTGAGTCCGTGTTGTGACCTGTAGCTCTATGTGAGTATGGGTCTTTACGTGCTCATGATATCGGCCACTTCAGGGGGGGGGGGTGCCTTAACCCGCTGTGTGTGTGTGTACGAATGATTTGTTGATGGTGTTTCTTGTCACGTGTGCAGCCATCCCTGCGTTTGTTTTGCACCTCGCCTCACCGAGCGTCACAAGCTTGAGCTTGGCCACGATGGACGAGATTTGGTTCTTCACTCTGGACGTGGGCGAGGAGGGAACGTCGCGAGGGGGCATCGGGAACCGCGGATACGACGACAGTGAGAAAAACGACACCCACAGAGGACACTAGGAGACACCCATGGAGAGACGCGCACAGAGAGACACCCACAGAGAGACACCCACAGAGAGACACCCACAGAGAGACACCCACAGAGAGACACCCACAGAGAGACACCCAAGAGACACCTACAGAGAGACATCCACGGAGACACCCACAAACTCGGAGACACCCACAGAAACTCAGAGACACCCACAGAGAGACACCCACAGGGACACTCGGAGACACCCACGGAGAGACGCGCACAGAGAGACGCGCACAGAGAGACACCCACAGAGAGACACCCACAGAGAGACACCTACAGAGAGACATCCACGGAGACACCCACAGAAACTCAGAGACACCCACAGAGAGACACCCACAGGGACACAAACAACTACATCCGTGAGGCTCACTGAGACCCACAGAGACCGAGACCCACAGACACCCACAGACATCATCCCTGTGAGGCTCACGGAGACCCACAGGGACACACACAGAGACACACACACACAGAGACACACACACAGAGACACACACAGAGACACACCCACAGAGAGACACCCACAGGGAGACACCCACAACTACATCCGTGAGGCTCGCTGAGACCCAGAGACCCACAGACACCCACAGACATCATCCCTGTGAGGCTCACGGAGACCCACAGGGACACCCACAGAGACACACACAGAGACACAGACACACAGAGACACACACACACACAGAGACACACACACACACAGAGACACACACACACACAGAGACACACCCACAGAGAGACACACAGGGAGACACCCACAGGGAGACACCCACAACTACATCCGTGAGGCTCGCAGAGACCCACAGAGACCGAGACCCATAGACCCACAGACACCCAGAGACATCATCCCTGTGAGGCTCACGGAGACCCACGGGGACACCCACGGGGACGCCCACGGGGACGCCCACGGGGACTCCCACGGGGACATCCACAGAGACACAGACACACACACACAGAGACACACACAGAGATGCCCATAGTCTCTCTCTGTCTCTCTTTGCCACCTTCTCTCTCTGTCTCTCTCCTGCAGACTCTTTCGGAAAGCCTGGTTGGCTGTCCAAGACGCGTATCCCGGTCACCGCCCCCCCCTCCCCCGCGTCACGTGCTGCGGGGATGTCGGGCACAGCTTGTGAGCTTCATCAAATACTGCCTGCCGTGAGAACAAACTCGCACACCGCACGCGCCACACACACCACACCGCACGGACCACACACCACACCGCACGCACCACACACACCGCACGCACCACACACACCGCACGCACCACACACACCACACCGCACGGACGTACGCACCGCACGCACCACACACACACCGCATGCACCACACACACCACACCGCACGGACATACGCACCACACCACACACACGCGCACCACACCACACACACGCGCACCACACGTGCACCACACACGCACCACACACACCACGCCGCACACACAGACTAAAAGCTCTTTCCTCCTGACGATCGCTTGTGTTGTGATCTAAACGTTGTTGTTTTTGTTTAATTTTGTATCGTTTTTATTAAAATTTTTGTTACTGAAAGAACCAAAAATAAGTTCACATTTATAGACTGCCAGTACACTCACTTCGATTAAGAACCAGGCTACAGTTTACATTATAGACTGCCAGTACACTCACTTAGATTAATAACCAGGCTACAGTCTACATTATAGACTGCCAGTACACTCACCCAGCTTAATAACCAGGCTACAATCTCCATTAATGTTTTTTAGTTTTTTATTATTTAAATTTGTATTTAATTTTTATCATTTTGATTCACTTATATTATTTTCATATCTACGTGACTTTACCCAAAGAACCAAAGAATATCTCCCCAGTGTAGCCTGTAACAGACTGCAGGGGCAAGTGCTGTTAGCGAGCACCTATTAAGGCTACCGGCACTGTGGCACACAAGGGGGTGGGTGGCCAACGTCACGCCCGGCCGCCTTTGTCTCCCCATTGGCGGTGTCTACCCTACACCACCGCTACACCAGGACACACATTTTGAGGCCGAGTCGACCTAGAGGAGAGGAGGCCCAGGTACCTGGGTCGGATAATTATCGGAACTCGCCGGCTGAGTTTGTGGCCGTGAGCGGGAATCGAACTCGTTTCTCTGCCGGGTTCGTAGTGGCTCAGCGGAGCGCTAACCGCTGCACCACCGCTCCCCTCTCCCGTGTTCCCACCTCAGATGTGATCCACAACTGCGGGTGACTCCGGATCAGGCGCTGGCTCACGGCTGGCTCCAGACAGAGGCAAACGCCACCACCCCCAGCTTGGCCACCACCACCAGCCACCACCACCACCCCCAGCCACTACCACCACCCCCAGCCACCACCACTACCATCCCCAGCTTGGCCACTACCACCACCCCTAGCCACCACGCCCAGCCACCACCACCACCACGCCCAGCCACTACCACCACCCCCAGCCACCACAACCACCACCACCCCCAGCCACTACCACCACCCCCAGCCACCACCACCACCACGCCCACCCACTACCACCACCCCCAGCCACCACCACCACCCCCAGCTTGGCCACCACCATCATACGCTGAATCACTCATCATACACTGACTCGCTCATGCGCTGACTAACACATCATACACTCAAGCTACTACTGACTCACACATCATACACTGACTCAGACTCACTCATCATACACTCACTCACACTACCACTGACTCACTCGCACATCATACGCTGACTCGCTCATGCGCTGACTAACACATCATACACTCAAGCTACTACTGACTCACTCACACATACGCTGACTCGCACATCATACACTCACACTACCGCTGACTCACTCACACATACACTCAAGCTACTACTGACTCACTCAAACATCATACGCTGACTCGCACATCTTTCACTCAAGCTACTAATGACTCGCTCATCATACACCGACTCATCATACGCTGACTCACTCATCATACACTCACGCTGCTGCTGACTCACTCACACATCATACATTGACTCACTCACACATCATACACCGACTCATCATACGCTGACTAACACATCATACACTCACTCACACTGCCGCTGACTCACTCAAACATCATACGCTGACTCACTCATCATACGCTGACTCACTCATCATACACTCACGTTGCCGCTGACTAACTCACACATCATACATTGACTCACTCATACGCTGACTAACACATCATACACTCACTCACACATCATACACTCACTCACACATCATACACTGACTCACTCATACGCTGACTCGCACGTCATACACTCACTCACACTGCCGCTGACTCACTCACACATTATACACTGACTCTTACCATACGCTGACTCGCTAATGTGCTGACTAACACATCATACACTGAAGCTACTACTGACTCACATCATACACTGACTCAGACTCACTCATCATACACTCACTCACACTACCACCGACTCACTCGCACATCATACGCTGACTCGCTCATGCGCTGACTAACGCATCGTGTGCTGACTCACACATCATGCACTCAAGCTATTACTGACTCACACATACGCTGACTCACATCATACGCTGACTCGCACATCATACACTCACACTACCGCTGACTCACTCAAACATACACTCAAGCTACTACTGACTCACTCAAACATCATACGCTGACTCACATCTTTCACTTCAGCTACTGCTGACTCACTCATCATATGCTGACTCACTCATCATACGCTGACTCACTCGTCATACACTGACTCACTCATCATTCACTCACGCTGCCACTGACTCACTCACACATCATACACTGGGAGTGTCATGCTGCCAGCTATGGCTGCAAGTTCGGTCGTACATGTTATGTATATCGTTTATTGTTAAATTTTTAATCACAGCTACTATGATTACTGTTGTTACATTGTTTTTATAGCTTTATTTTGGTGATTCGAAAACATGGTTAATCTAAATTGTCTTATGGTTGTTGTTGTTGGCTTGCACCACTGATTTTTGTACACAGCGTTTTAATACTTTTTTTTGGGGCAATATTTGCTGGTTTATTCCAGGATTCAATCTTAATTTTAGAACTTTCGTGACTGCAGGAATTATTATTTGGTTCTTTCGGTTAAGTCACGTCTAAAGATAAAATAATAAATTAAATTAAATAATAGCATACGACGATGTGTTGCATACGACGTTTCGATTGCAACACATCGTCGTATGCTATTATTTAATTTAATTTATTATTTTATCTTTAGACGTGACTTAACCGAAAGAACCAAATAATAATTATTCCAGGATGTTTCTGTTGGTCGTCGTCGCTTTAAGATGTTCTGTGTTCACATTTTGTTTGTTGCGGTTGCACCCGATGCAAGAGCCGCATGGCTCACAGGGTTATAACTAATAAATGAAACTTGAATAAATGAAACTTGAAACACTCACCACACACTATATACACACGCTCACCACACACTATATACACGCACACGCTCACCACACACTCACCACACACACTATATACACGCTCACCACACACTACGTGCGCGCTCACCACACACACTATATACACGCTCACCACACACACACACTATATACGTACCACACACGCTCACCACACACTATATACACACACGCTCACCACACACACTCACTATATACACGCTCACCACACACACTATATACGTACCACATACACGCTCACCACACACTATATACACACGTTCACCACACACTATATACACGCTCACCACACTCACAATAGGTAGTCCTCTACTTATGATGGAGATGCGTTACGACGACCCCATCGTAAGCCGAAAATATCGCAAGTCGAAGATGGCCTAGCCTACCCAGGGGTCTTAAAGAATGGTTATAATTTAGCATAACAGCAATTTACAGTACCGTACTGTGTAAACTATATACCGTATGTATTAATTACAATACTGTATTGCACAGTAAAATGCAAAGTAAAAAAAGAGGTAAATTCTTAGCCTACCTATATGAACTGCAATTTAATAGAAAGTTTTTTCAGGAAAAAATCCTATCTGCTATAAAAACTTTTAACATGCATTGAACGTACGTATCGTATGGTGGTAACCCTGAAATTAAATCGCTAAAGCTACGCATCGCACATGCATTGAACGTATCGTAACGTATCATTGTATTGTACTCGCCAAGATTCTGTCTGTCGTCTGCATACTTGAACGATGTTTAATTTAGTGTGTTCTTTCTCCCTCTCTCCTAATGTTCAAACTTGTCTTACTTTACTACGCGTTTTCCGCACTCATTGACATGTTAATTTTGTATCTAACCCCCTCCATCTCTCTGCCCCCCGCCCCCTCTGCCTATTTAAGGCCACTCCGCAGAGACGATCTCCCTCTCTGTACCTGTGTTACTCTCTCTATGTATCTCGGTGATATCTGTCTGCTTATATGTCTGTCTATAGTTTTTCTGGTTAGAATTTTTTGTTGCTATTTCATTTGCACCTGATGATGATTGCTTGTGTTGCAATCGAAACGTCGTGATTTTTATTTTATTTTACTTTTATTAATTTTAATTTTTTACCTACGTGACTTTACCGAAAAAAACCTATGAATATGATGTTAGGTTGTTGATGGCTACATTCACTTAGTTGTCGGAAGAGGAGGGATGGCGGTGATAAAAGTACAGCACCGTACCTCGTACGCTGCTGCGTTTGCCTGCCGCGCGAAATGTAAAATATTTTTCAATTTTGTCGTATCGATATCGCCATCGTAAGATCAAAATATCGTAAGTCGGACCCATCGTAACCCGGGGACTACCTGTATATACACTCGGCACACACACTCCCGTGGGGTTCAGCTGTGCCAGACGACTCCATAGCGGTCACCACACATGTGTGTTGAGTAGTTCCTGATGTACGCACTCGGAAGACTGAGTTAAGTTAGGGGCTTTCACCAGGGTTTATTAAAGCTGTTACAATATTACACAGCAGGGTACACAACTCCCAGGGGCTAGGGAGGGGTCCTACTCTTGAGTCCGGGTCCCTGCCGGCTAGCTCTGGTCTCTCGTGTCGGATCGTGGAGTCTGCCGACTCCACCGAGCGGAGAGAGAAGCACCTCTACGGCTACCACCGGCTTCTCCCCAGACTCCCTATTCGATCCCTCTCTCTACCCCTGGTTCCCTCTTAACCTGTTTACTTTACCCGTTCCCACAGTGACCCCGCTTACGTCATGGGGTATCCCTTAAGTGCCCTAGGAGACGTGACGTCATGTGCACTGTCCAGCGCGCGTGACCCCACGTCCCGTGAAGTCATCGCACTAGACAGCGCACACGACGCCACTTACACGTGTAGTAAGTTGTAGGAGGCTTGGACGACGTAGTTGGAGGCACACTTATTTATTAACACCAACGTATTTACAGAGACGGGGATACACAACACTTGAAGGGGTATCGGCCCGTTCACCCGTCTTAACAGGGAGACCCAACGTCTAACCCGGCTAGCCTACTCCCAGGTCCTCCACTACAGAGCTAAGGGAGGCTATCTATCCCAGCCCTGGTCAAGCTGGGATTTACGGCACCCTGAGTCTCCAGACCGGCTCTTATAAGAACATCGGTCTTGGCTCTCGGGGCCACGCCACCGGCTTTCCCCGGTCGGTCCTGACAAGGACAGCGAGCCAGGGGAGCTCCAGGGCCTACTCTAGCTGGTCTTCACTCTTCGCTGGTTAAAGCTAACACTCGACCCCGAGCCCTCCGGCTCACCACCTTTTATAGCAATCGCCCTCCCCGGGGGGGGCCGTGGGGGATGGCAGGTGCGGACGTCGATGTAAGCACCTCTGCGTACGGCCATAACCACGCTGCTTGTGTTTGTTTCCCATCCGTACCAGTACACCACTACACATGCACTGGACACAGCCACGCTCACTGCACACGCCACACGCTCACCCCACACTCAGCCCAGTAGCCTAGCCAGGGCGGCGTGCCCACCCTTACCCCCCAGACTCCAACCCATGTTGGTTTTCATCCGGTGACAGTCCCCAAAGGAGGATGAGGGAGGGAGTGACCTTGCCACACGGTTCTCAGGACGTGGGGAGAGGCGAGGCCTGGTGCAGGCACTGGGGCTAGAAGCCTGCCTAGGCCCACCACGTGGTGTGTGAGTGTTTAAAAAAAGTAATAATTTAATGTGTCGCGTTGTACATAAAGTCATCGTTTTGTATATTGTTATTATTGTAAATATATTGTTAATATCGTAAATATATTGTTATTGTAAGAGTGTTATTATCAGTTATAAATAAAGTCGCCAGGACGTGAAATAACGTTGCAGACACGTGGTTTGTGCCTTCGATCTGTCAGTGCCGTGTGAGCGTGGGTTCATAATGGCCGTGTCATCCACCCACCCACCCAATCGTTCACTCGCCCAACCACCCACCTACTCGTTCACTTACCCACCCACTCATTCCCTCACCCACCCACCCAGGCATTGACTCATCCACTCGCCCACCCACAAACTCAACCACTCACCCAACTACTCATCAACCCACCAACTTGCTCTACCACCCAACCACTCACCAACCCACCAACCAACTCACTTTACCACCCTCCCACTCACCCACGAATTAACTCTACCACCCACTCACTAATTTATTCACACACCCAATAATTTAACCACCCACTCATTCGCCCACCTGTAAAGACGGTGCATGGACTAGCGGTCACGCGCAGGCTAGGTGACAGAGAAGGGAACCATCTGGAATCTCCAGATCGTGGCCAGGGGCGGAGGGATGACCACACCGGGAATAAAAAGGGGAGAGGAGCGAGAATCGGGGCTGCTGCAGAGGTGGCAACCGTTTACCCGATACCCGGCTACCCGGCCGGGTACGGGTACCCGTTTGCGACCCTGGTGCGGCCGGGTACGGGTAGCCACACGTGACTCACCCCAACCAATGAGTGAGAAGGCTGTGAGTCACTGGTGAGTCACCGTTTGTCACTCATTTCCCAACGTCTGGTCTCTTCTCAATTCAAGTTCCTAGAATCAACCCACCCGCGCCTGCAACGTGGCTTCATCCCAGAGGTCGCAATCAGGTACCCGATACCCGTACCCTACCCGTACCCGGACAGGTAGGGTACGGGTACGGCCGGGTACGGGTACCCGTTTGCGACCCTGGTGCGGCCGGGTACGGGTACGGGTAGGCCGTGAGTCACTGGTGAGTCACCGTTTGTCACTCATTTCCCAACGTCTTGTCTCTTCTCACGATTCAAGTTCCTAGAATCAACCCACCCGCGCCTGCAACATGGCTTCATCCCAGAGGTCGCAATCAGGTACCCATACCCGGCTGGGTAGGGTACGGGTACGGCCGGGTAGGGTACCCGTTTGCGACCCTGGTGCAACCGGGTACGGGTAAGGAATCAAAACCCGTTTGCGACCTCTGCTCTGAAGCGACCAAAGGCCCGTCCATAAATGACGTCACGCGATTATGGACGATTTTTTACCCCCCCCCCCCCTCGTCACACAGCGTCGCAAAAAGTCAAACCCCCCCCCCTCAAATATGACGTCACAACGCTCTGCCCCCCCCCCTCCCCCCAAAACCATATTTCCATTTTGAAAATAAAACATGCTTCAAATCGCTTTAAACTATTGTCATTGTAGTGCGTATTTAATGTGGAGCTGCACTCTGATGTTGTACGAGTGTTGTTATAACAAATAGCGTTATATACAAATAGCGTTATATACAAATAGTGTTATACCAAATAGTGTTGTTATAACAATTCTATATTTATTTTCTTGGTTCTTTCGGTAAAGTCACGTAGAAGGGAAATAATAAAATAATAAATATAAAACATTAAATAATTCTCACGACGTTTCGGCCACAACGCAAGCAGCCGTCCTCAGGTGAAGACCAGGTCTGTCGGGGAGACAGCGTCTGAATGAAACACCACCAGGCTTGGCAGCGTATATTTAAGCTGCTGGGTTGGAAGGGGGGAAGGGCGCCTTGACAAAATAATTTGCGAATTAAATCTAAATTTAAATCTATATTTATTTAGTTGTGCATTTTGATGTGACGTCACATTTCTCAACCCCCCCCCCCCCGACCTCGTCACACTTCGTCACAGATGTCTGACCC